AGCTGACTCTAACCCAGGTGAAAGCCCCTTTTCTTGAAGACTATTTTTCCAATATCAACCAATGACATCTTTCCCTGAATTTAGCCTTAAATTCCTGGACTCAGTTGTGAATAGCTTGGGAGAAAACAAGTCACGACCGTGAAGTTATAGGACTCCTTTGCAGAGGGGAGTGGCGGATCAGAAGGAGGCTCTAACCTGTCCCAACGGAGGCTGTTGCCAAAGAGGAATCACAGCAATGCTGTGAACAGCGGCAGCCTCATGGGGGTAAGTTTGGAATGCTCTGTGTGGAATGACTGGGAAAAGAAGCACTCATTTGTAGATGCAAGTTTTGGCGTCTTTTAATCCAGTTTCAGGTAGGTAGGAGGTGCAGTGGATAGAGCTCTGGGCCTGGAGTCTGGAAGATTCATCTGCATGAGTTCCAATCCAGCCTTGGACACTTACTAGCTGTGTGACCCTGGGCAAGTCACTTAACCCTGTTTGTCACAATTTCCTCATCTGTAAAATGAGCTGAAAGAAGGAAATGGCAAACCACTCTGGTATCTTTGCCAAGAAAATCCCAAATGGGGTCACAAAGGGTCAGACATGACCAAATAACAACAATAATCGTCTCATCGATCTATAATCCTCCTTTGCCCATCATCACTTCTTTAACTTTTGTCTACTTACAGGAGAGAAATCTGGGCTCAAAAGAAAACATCTGGGCAACACTGCCCCACCCCTCCCACCCAACTCACACTTCCTGCAGGGAGCCTCTCTTGATCTCCAACACCCCAAAACCATAGTTAGCGCCCCCTCTTGCTACAGATTGACCTGGCATTTTCCTTCTTTGAGTCCATACTGTAGCTGCTCCGTACAATGTAAGCTCCATGAAGGCAGGGTTCTGGTTTTTGTCTTTGCATCCCTAACCCCCCAGCACAGTGAGCCTCGCACATGTTTGGTTTTGTTTTTCTGTGGGGCTGAATTCATTGGGCTGGGAAATCTCCTCCAGGGTGGAAACTCTCTCTAGGGAAGCAGTTCAGCTACTTTTTCATCATGTATAGTCTGACGGCTGCCTGGACATTGGACTGTTAAGTGACTTGCTAATGGTTAGACAGGAAGAAGGTATTAGAGGCAGGGTTTGTACCCAACCTCCTAACTCCAAGGCAAGTCCTCTAATCACTGCCTGCTGTCTCCCACCTCCCACTTTCCTTTCTGTTAGAGGGCTGTGATTTCATTGATGCAGTGACATCCTAGGGAGAAAGCTCCCTCTAACCAGTGCAGATACAATCTAATCCAGGGGCCTCAAGGCTGCAGGTTCCCCACCCTTGATCTAGTCTTTGAGAGTTGCCTGGGGCCACTGAGAAATCAAGTGCCTTATCCAGGGTCACTCTGTCAATTTATTTCAGAGGAGAACTTGAACCCAGCCCTTCCTGCTACAGAGGCTGGAAGTGGCTCTTTATCAGTTATGCCAAATTGCTTCTTGTACATACAGCAGGTATTTAATAAATGCTTGTTGAGTTGAATGTCACCTCTCCCCTCCCCTCCTCCCCCAACCAGGAGAGTGCTGGAGCTGGCTTGAATTAGCTCTCTAGTGCTACTATTAAATTTTCAGTGTGAGCATTTTTACCTCAGGAAACCAAAAAATGCTACTCATCTGGGCTTGATTTATTGCTTTGTTGATTTTAAGAAAGTGTTGTTAATAATAAGGATTAATTTTTTTTTTAGGCAATTGGGGTTAAAGTGATTTACCCAGGGTCACACAGCTAGTAAGTGTCAAGTGTTTGGTCTGAGGCTAAATTGGAACTCGGGTCCTCCTGACTTCAGAGTTGGTGCTCTATCCACTGCACCACCTAACTGCCCCAGTAAGGATTACATTTAAAGGTGCCTTTGGTACATCTATCCTCCCCACCCTTCTGGAGCTGGTTGTTAATATTTACTAGCATACCACTGTCCCCAACCCGATTCTACCTGGCTACAGTCGGGACCCATGGGACATTTGACTAGTCAACACAGGGAGTTCTCTCCCCTGACCCAATGGGGAGCTGCTGTCCCTGCCTGTCCCTGCAGAGCCTCCTGTGCCTTCAAGCTGCCCCTTTAGCCAGGCCTTCTCTTGGATGCATAGATAGTGTTCTCTTTGCTCCCAGAAATGCTTCATCTGCAAGCAGGGCCAGCTGAAATCCACAGAGCCCAGAATATTAAAGGGATTAGTGTATTGAACCACTAGCAATTAATGTTAGAAAGCTGGAGTCAAGCATACAGCAGGCCACAAGCCCTGGACAGGTGACGGTGGTCAGGAGGGGAAAGTGAGGGAGGGAGGATATTGAGGAAAGAAAATGTGGTCTCATTAATTTGTTTCAAAGAACGGTTCCCCTCTAGGCCTCTTCCCCCGACTCCCTTACACAGGCCTAAGGCTTCCAGGAACAGAGAGGCACTATGTTTTGTGGGTGTCAGAATGATGGCCAAGGAGGGGCTAGGGAACGGAGGAGGAGAGGGAGACAAGTGCCCAGCATCACGGGGCTGAGGTGCCATTAGCTCCTGGTCTCTGCTGGAGGAGAGCGGGGAGTAACTGATGGCCATTCCCCACGCCCCTATAAATGTCTCATAAGAATAATCCATGGCCCCGGAGACCATAAATGCCAACACAGCAGGCTGGGTTATTTAGAGGGGTTGCAGGGTGACAGGGGTGGGGGAGCGGGCGGAAGGTGGAGGAAACAAGCAGAGGCCTATTAGGCTGAACATCGGGGAAACATTTTCCCCTGGCAGCGGGAGCCATTTGGATGAGGAATAAGCTTTCAGGGCCAGAGGGCAGCTTCACTTGCAATCTGAAAGTGAGCTAGGCTCCCCAGGGGGACATCCTGGGTGTAGGCTGACCTCCTAAGCCCTGTTCTCAAGGGCTGCCCCAGCGATCTCCAATGATTTTACCAGGATCGAGGCAGGGACCACAAGCCCTAAAGAACCATATATTCTAGGCCTGGTTCTAAGGAGGTAATTGTGGCTCCACCTATTACCAGGTATCACCTAGGGCTTCACCTACCCCATGCCTAAAATGGGCATATTCCCCCCTTTTACCTTACAGATTGAAGTGGTCAATAGTCAAAGATATGAGAGGGCTACGAGCTTTGTAGGAACAAGAAAGCCAAATTTAAAACAAACCACCCACCCAATCATTCAACTGCAGAGTTTTCTATAAGCCATGCTTTTAGGTTTAAGAACTATTATTGTAGGATTTAGATTTAGAAAAGAGAACTTAGAAGCCATTGAGTCAACCCCCTCATTGTATAGAAGAGGAAACTGATATATAGAGAAGTTAAGAGATTTCCCCAGGGTACCAGAGCTATTAGTATTTGAAGCAGGATTTGAACTCAGGTCTTTTCTCCTCTTTGTTGCTTATAGAATAGTCATACAATGCCAGAGCTACCAGAAACTTCAGAAATTATCTCATCCAACCTTTTATTTTACAGAGGAGGAAACTGAGGTTTCTCTTTCCTCACTTTGCTCCTAGAAGATGGCCAAGTCCTCCTCCCTTGAGTATCATAGGGTTTAGCCCTGGAGGGGACTTAAAGGGTTGCCTACTACTCCAGGGCACTTGTTTTATAGATGAGGATTATAGGGTCATAGATTTAGAGCTGAAAGGGACCTGAGAGGTCATTCTAGCCCAGCCTGCTGAGTGTATAGGTGAGGAAATGGAAGTGTTTTACTGTTTAGTCCCTTTCAGTTGTGTCTGACTCTGTGACCCCTTTTGAGGTTTTCCTGGCAAAGATACTGTAGTGCTTTGCTATTTTCTTCTCTGGCTCATTTTACAGATGAGAAAACTGAGGCAAACAGTCAGTAAGTGTCTGAAGCTGGATTTGAGCTCAGGTCTTCCCAGCTCTAGGCCCTGGACTCTATCCACTGAGCCCCTATTGAAGTCTAGAGAAGTTAAGTAAGTTAACCTAGGCCACAGAGATAATAAGTCGTAGAGCTAGGTCTTGAACCCAGATCCTCTAAGTCAAAAGCCAGAAGTCTTCACCCAGGGTTATGAGGCCTCAAAAACAGAGCAAGACAGTTTTAATAACCGGCCAGTAGAATGGTTTCAGCCTCCTACAGTGAACTTCCCCCTTAGCGTCTCCCCCAGTTTGGGGTCAATTCTGCACATGAAACAAGTCCGTGGGGACTCTGACTTAACAACCTGCTTTCCCCCACAGGGGCACTGGTTGGCACTGAGCCTGCTCCTAATGAGGCTGAGACAACACTGCCAGTTCAGAGGTCGGTCAGAGGGAGCAGACAAAGATGTGCTGAGATGACCTGCTCACCATCCAGCCTGCCTGCCTGCACCTGGCCCTTCCCGAGCTTCGGGGGCCTGTCCCAATGCAGATTGGCTTTGCCAGGCAAGACCTACAATTTAGGGGGACCTGCCCATTCTCCCCTCCTCCCCCAAGCCCCTGCCCCTATTCAATAAGCTTCAGTGGCTCCCTGTCACCTCCAGGACCAAATATAAATTGTTCTGTTGGCATGTAAAGCTCTTCACAACCTGGCCCCTTCCTCCTTTTCCAATCTCTTTAAATTTTATTCCCTTTCAAGTACTCTATGAATTAACTGCACAGGCCTCTCATTTCCATGCCTTAGTATGGGCCTGGAATGCCCTCTCTCCTTGCCCCCACTTTCTCGCTTCCCTGTCTTCTTCCAAAACTGAAGGCAGATCTGGCCTTCTGCAGGAGGCCTTCCCTCTATGATTATCTCCAATTTATTCTGGATATTTTTTTTTTTGTATATTGCCTCCCCAATTAGAACTCTTGTGAATTTTTCAAGAGCACGGACTGTCTTTGCTGTTGTTTGTATCAGCCAGGGCTTAGCACAGCGCCTGGCACAGTGTAAACACTCAATTAATGCTTGTTGACTGGGAAACTGTGCACAGGAAACTTCCCTGGCCTAAGGTCAGGAAACTGACATTCTTCTATTTCTTTATGTATCAAAATACAAAAGACATTAAAAAAAATAAAAGAGAACAGAACACCTGCACAGAAATAAAAACAGGGTGGAGAAACAGCAGTTAACAGGTCTTTTACTCTGTAGGATTATATGCCATCATACCAACACCCCGGGTGAATGGCTCTTCCCTTCCTGTCCCCTTGATATGTGGGACACAATACAAACAAAAATAATTCTCTACAAAACAATAATTCCCTACACTCTTCAGAGCCTTCCCCACCTCAATACAGTGAAGTTCTCCTCACCTCAACCCCAGGGCTGACCTTGGGGGCCTGGTGGTTTGCAAAAGGAAACCAAAGTGAGAATACAAAACATCATAAATTCAGCATCGAGATTTGTAGGCAACTGTAATTCCAGGTTGTCCACCCAGCTGTGTGATGAATTGGACAGGTGTTTGCCGCTGGTACTCAGTCCACCAGAAGGATTTGAGAGGGATGTGGTTGTTGCCTTGTCAGAACTTGGGGTGTGGAAAGGGAGAGTGGTCACTGTCCCTCCCTCCCCCACAAAACTAGAGGTAAAACCAAAATTGTAGGGTTGTTTGCTTTGGCAGGGGGAACTGGGTCCCAGGCCCTGAACAATGGCCTACGTTGGGAAGAGAGGATGGGTCAAGGGTCCATGGAAGGAGACAGAGCAGAGACTTTGCTGAGGAAGCCCGAGGAAGGGCCTGACCAGCACCCTTCTAGCAGGAAGGATTAATGTTCCTCGGCCAGGTCTCTGTGACTGCTCCTGGTATTCGGAAGGACGTGAGTGAGGATGGAATGGAGGTGAACAGTCCTGGTGGTGAGGCAGTCCCTGGGGGGTGAAGAGAGGGAGGGGGCACCTTTGCCCTGGTGCTCCCTCCTTGCCCCCAGCTTTGAGGATGAGGCGGTGTCAGTAACCTAGGCAGCCTGCCAACCACAGAAGCAACCCAGAGCCAAGGAGCACAGCGAGGTGGGGGCCAGCATGGGAAGCAGGGTCGCAGGCTTGGCCTTCGTCCCCCTGGCAGAGAGGCTGGTCACACAGCACGCCCTGGTAGCCACTGGGACAGAGGCAACGCTGGTTCTGGTAGCACGTCCCCCCATTTTGGCAGAGTAAGGATTCGTCGTCACAGACATTGGCTGGGGAAGGGGAAAGAGAGAGAGGTGCGTAATTAATAAGGCAGAGAACAAACCCTAAGCAGGTCAGATGGTTTGCCCAGCTGAATGAAGCCACCTGTCTCCACCAATGCCAACCCAGAGGCAGAAAAAAAGTCTTCCCTCTAAATTATTTTTCTTTCTTTCATCCTATTTTTTTTTAAATTTTTTTGGGCAATTGGGCTTAAGTGACTTGCCCAGGGTCACACAGCTAGTAAGCATCAAGTGTTTGGTCTGAGGCTGGATTTGAATTCAGGTCCTCCTGACTTCAGGGCCGGTGGTCTGTCCACTGCGCCACCTAGCTGCCCCTCTTCCATCCTATTGATAACTTTTGCATTTATGTAACAATAATTTCTGGACGTTTCCTGCTTCTCCCCACTACTCCCAGCCCTACTCCCACCCTCACCCAGATTGAACTTTCACACTTGTAACAAAGAAAAACAATGAAGTAAAAACTTGCTGCAGTGACCAGATCTGACAGTGTATACAGTAGCCTATTCCTGAAGTCCCACCCCTTTGCTGTGAGGAGAAAAGTAGGTTCTATTATTCCCTCCAACTCCAGTAAAGGAATTCTCTTGGCCATTTGCTGTCATGGGCTTGAATTGTAAGGATTTTCTTCCTCTAGTCAATCAGAATCCTTCTGGCTGTGTTCTCAACCTACTTCTGATTCTGTCCTCCGGAGACCTGAGCCATGGCTTGTGCTACCCTCCTTATAGCATTCTCCCTCTGTTTGCCCGATTTCATGTATAGTCCCCTCGCAGCCTTCTCTTCTCTAGGATAAATAACCCTGATGCCTTTCATCTTCCCTCAGGAGACCCAGCTTCTAGGGAGCCCACAGATTGCTCTGAGGTCAGCTGGTGCCAGATGAAGCAGGGTCACTGGGAAAAGATTTCAAAGGCAAGAACCCACCCACCTGAGAAATAATTAAAAGCTGGATTCAGAAGGAGCCAAACTTGGTCCTTGTTAGCATTCTCCACACTTCCAGAAGGAAGAACACTGAATGTGGAAACACTACAGAAAATCCAAAGCCTCCACTCATCAGAGTGCCTGATAGTTGATTGGCCTGATTTGCATAGCACCCTTCCCCATGCTCCCTGGCAGCCTGGTGCATGTACTTTTCCCTTGCCCAGAGGCAAGGGGGCAGCAGTGGGTAGGTCGCTATAGGGTGAGAGCCTTGGGGAAATAGAATGCACGTGCCCTTTCCCATTGGACATTGTCCCTAGAGCAGGGCTTCTTAAACCTTTTTTTATGTCACAGACCCCTTTGACTGGGTGAAGCTGATGGACCTCTTTTCAGGATGTGTTTAAATGCATAAAATAAAACATACAGGATTATAAAGGAAGCCAGAAGTTAGTGAAAAGAAAGATGTACTTTCTTTTCCCATTCAATTTTGGGAACCCTGAAATTTATTCACACATGGACCACAGGTTAAGAACCTTTGCACTAGAAAGACACTCCTCCCCAAATACTTCCATGTATTCAATCAGAAAGACACAAACACAGAGATACACACACATACACACACACTCTTTTGTTTTTCCCATCTCCATCTTTTCCCTGCTCCCATATCTCCATTCTATCTCTGTCCACCTTTCTATTCTCTGGCCTCATCTTCAATCCCCAACAGGATCCAGCTGGGGGTTAGCTAGACAAATGCCCTGCTCACTGCTCTGAGTCTTTCCTGAGGTGAGACCTTCCTGTCCACACAGCCTGTGTGGGCATCGCTGGTTTCTATTCTCCCTGCACTTGCTCTGTATAAGCATAGGCTCTCCCAGTCTGAAAATATCTAGATTGGACCACAGATTTATTGGGCAGTTAGGTGGCTCAGTGGATAGAGTACCAGGCCTGGAGTCAGGAAGACCTGAATTCAAATTTGGCCTCAGACACTTACTAGATGTGTGACCCTGGGCACTCAACCCTGTTTGCCTCAGTTTCTTCATCTGTGAAATGAGCTGGAGAAGGAAATGGCAAACCACTTTAGTATCTACCAAGAACACCCCAAATGAGTTCATGAAGAGTTGGCAACGACTGAAACAACTGAACAATACAACAACAATAGATTCAGAGGTGGAAAGGATCTTAAAAATAACTGGGTCCAACCCCCCCATTTTACAGATGAAGAAAATGATGCAAGGAGAGAGGCCCAGGGTACCAAAGCTAGGAGTGTCTGAATGGGATTTGAAGTAGATCTTCCTGACTCCCAATCTAGTGCCATGTGTACTAGACCATACTTCTCCCATGATGCTAAATACCTTTGTGTTCCTTACTCTCTCGACCCCACTCTGATGGTTCAAATCCCAGTCATTCTTCAAGGCCTAATCCAAGTCCTCTTCTATGACCTTCCCTGACTACTTGAGCCCACATTAACCTCTCCCTCCTCTGCATTCCCATCTCCTTTACAGTCTCTATCACGTAATCTGGCATCGGCTTCTATATTGTCTAGTATAGTTCCCTGATTGTTTTGCGAATTTGGGTGTGCTTTGCATTCTCACTCCGGCTGTGAGCTCCACTGGGATAGGGGGACTCTTGCTTATATACTATGCTCATTATAGTGCTTTCTAGCCCAGGGAACACATGGAAGGAATGTTTTATTACCTACTGGGTACAATTCAAATCTTTCAGCCTGGCATTCAAGGTTTTCCAAAATCTAGTGCAAACCTATGTCTCCAGGCTTAGCTTATATAACTGTCCTTTGAACATTCTCTGCTGTGGTCAAACTGAACAAATTCTCTGCTTTCTGATTCTACCCCATGCCCTCCAACCTCCATGCCTTTGCTTGGGTTATACCCTATGCCTGAAATATCCCTCCTGTTGAGTTCCTCCCCAGGCTATAAAGTTCAAATCAAATGTCCCCTCCCCCCATCCCCAACCCAACCCTTCCCCATAAGTTATCTCCTTTGACCTTACATAGTACTTTGTTAATTTTGTTGCTGTTCAGTTGTGTCCAACTCTTTGTCGACCTGATTTGGGTCAAAGATTTGGGAGTGGTTTGCCATTTTTCCTTCTCCAGCTCATTTTACAGATGAGGGAACTGAGACAAACATTGGTAAGTGACTTGCCTAGGGGCACACAGCCTATCTGAGGCCAGATTTGAACTCAGAAAGATGAATGAATCTTCCTGACTCTAGGCCCAGCACTCTCTCCACTGTGCCACCTAGCTGCCCTGACTTTGCTTATACCTTTCTAATGTACTTTCTATGTTTTATGTTGTATTGTAGTTAGCTGTGTCTGTGTAATTCCCTCTACCAGGATATTGGGGGAAGCAGGGAGGATGGAAAGGGTATCTTTTCTAAACTTTGTGAACCTCTGCACACGGTAGATGTGATTGATGAATATGTTATGGTCAATGTGAAAAAAAGACTTTTCGAACTGAATCCCAGAGAAGTAACACAGTCTCAGGCCCCCATTTTCACTTCATTCCCTGGCTCTCCTTCAGCATCTTCCGAGATACAAATTAGGAGAAAGGGAGCCCAGGCCTCCAGTGTAAACCCTGCCCCAACCAACTTACGGAAGCAGCCCTGGCGCCAGTAGTGACTGGGAAGGCAGTCATCACACTTGGGCCCCGCAGCCCCTTCTCGGCACTCACAGTGACCGGTCTCGTTGCACCGGTCATTGATGGATCCTATCTGGTTGCAGTTACATTCTGTGCAAATACAGGAAAGAAAAAACAAAACAAAAATAAAACTATGGTCAGTTTTACTGTTATACCTCTCCCCCCATCCATAACCTCCCCTCCTTGGTTCCCTCATCACCAGCTCCCTGCCCCTTATCTCCATTCACTGGAATAGGACCCCAGAAATGATGCAACCTTACCAACTATCTCTCCCTCCCTCTCCTGGTTGTTATTCAGTCACGTCCAACTCTTCATGATCCCACTTGGGGTCTTCTTGGCAGAGATACTGGAGTGGTTTGCCATTTCCTTCTCCAGCTCATTTTACAGATGAGGAAACGGAGGCAAACAGGATTAAGTGACTTGCCCAGGATCATACAGCTAATAAATATCTAAGATCAGATTTGAACTCATGAAGGAGTCTTCCTCACTCCAGACCTGGTACTCTATCCACTGTGCCACCTAGCTGCTTACCCCCTTCCCATTTTAGAAGCCAGGAACAAGAAGGAAGGGAAAGGAATACACATTTATTGAACACCTCCTATGTGCCTGGCACTGCGTCAAAATTGCTTTGCAATTTCATTTGATCCTTTCAGCAATCCCGTGAGGGAGGTGCTATCATGACCCCATTTTACAGTAGAGGAATAGAGGTCTTCCCCAGACGACACTTGGAAATTTGCCTGTGGGGTGCCCTGGGTCTATTATGTTATTTTAGGGAGGGAGAAGGGCACAAGGGTGCCAACTGTGCCCTCAGCTCCAGGGTGTGCTACATTGTGGCTGCACCTCTACAGGCTGGGGCCAGCCTATTTGCATAGGGCAACCCTCCCCACCCAAAGAACATTCAGTAGAGTGTATAGGGAAGTATAGTAGAATAAGAGCCAAGAATCTGGGTTCAAATCCTGTCTCTCTGACCTTGGTTAAGTCACTTCTCTCTCTCTGGGCCTCAGTTTCTTTATCTGCAAAACGAGGGATTGTACTAGATGATCTTTGAGTCCCTTCCTGCTCTAAGTCCTATAATCACCAAGCTCCTTTTGAGCACTAACATTCTCTGGGGCATTGTGGATGACCAATTACTGTCTAGTTCCTGGCCACAGATGCTGAATTGGTAATTTTGATTCTGAGACATTCATTCACTCAGTTGCAATCATTTTCTGCCTATAATTTTCCACTCACCTCTACCCCACCTTCCCACCTCACCCCCTGTCATTCCCACCCCACCTTCTCCTGCCTGTGTACTGTGTTCCCAATGTTTCTCCCAGCACTGGTGGAATCCCTACTTGTCTTTTTCTCATGATGTCAACCCAGATCCTATTACCTCTATCCTCACCCATTTACACATAGACACAGACACAGACACACACACACACACACACACACACATACACACACACTGCTCTGTGTTCTATAGGGAAAAGGAGGGGAGGGAGCCCACCATAATCCAACCAGAAGGTTCTGACTGTCCTGCTGTAACCGAACCCTGGCCCTAGGGTGGTGGCCATAGCACAATTTAGTTTTGATCACCTGAAAGCGGATGGAATTATCGCCTGTACCTTGGGATACAGAGCCTTAATACAGACTGACAGCTCCAGGCCTAGGGCCTGGGACAGGATGGCAAGAGGATTCTGACTCTCTCTCCTTGCAAACAGGCTGTGGGCACTAGAAGTGATGCCCCCAGAGGACAGGGTAGCCAGCCAAACAGGGCCCAAAGGGCCTAATTGAGAAAAGGTGTGTACATGCATACCTCTCCGTGTTTAGGGGGAGGGAGAGCAGCACCAGCAGTGCAGAGATCAGCCTTCTCCTTGGATAGAGGTTAAAAACAAAACAAAGGAAAAATGAAGGGCAGGGTTTGGGCAGCAGAAATTAGGCTCTACCCATGGCCAAGCTGTCCAGACATATTCCCATGATCATGGGCTCTTAAGATTTGGATTTGGCAGGGACCTCCCAAAGCATCTTCTCTAAAACCCTCTTTTAACAGCTCAGGAAACTGAGGTTCACAGAGAGGAAGTGACTTGCCCCAGGTCTCTTAGGTAGCAGAAACAGTGTGCAAACTCAGGTCCTCTGACGGCTGGCAGTTTTCAGGGACTCGGGCCCCCTAGAACAAGTCAGCTTTTAGCTGACTGTTTATTGGCCTTCTGGCATGACTCCTTCTAGCCAGGCAGCCTCTAACCTTTACTTCTAACCAAGGAATATCATATATTTTTCCTTTCTGGGCTTCCAGGCATAGAATCATTCATTGGTGTAGAAGGTTAGAGCTTGGAGGAGATTTAGAGATTATTCTATAAGGAAGAGAAGGCCAATGAAGGTATTTGAGAGGGGTGCTTTGGACATTATTGAATACAGCTCCCTCAATTTAGAGATGGAGAAATTGAGGCCAAAAAAATGGAAAGGACTGGCTCAAGGTCATATAGATGTTTAGGGACACCAGCAGAATTAAAACCCAGGCCTCTTGGCTCAAAGGCCAGAACTTGCTCTGCCCTGCCTTGCTGTTCAGCTCACCATGTTCCCTCCAAAGGGAAGCCCTTCTTGATCAATAAATCAGCCCACATGTATTTACTACATGCCTACTCAGTGCCAGACACTGTGCCAATGTAGTTGGTAGTGCTCGTTCTCTCTTTTCCAAATGATCATGTATCTACTTGTATGCCTACCATATCCCCTCTCTGCTTCTCTAGTAGAATGCAAAATCCTTAAAGGCAGGGTTGTTGCTGTTTTTTTTAATATTGGCTATGCATCCTCAATTTCTGGCACAGTGCTTAGCACACTGTAGGTACTTAATAAATGCTTGCTGGATTGGTTTGGCATTCTGTGTTACATGTAACTGGCATACCACTTGCTCGTTGCTGCAGATCCCTTCTCCCCCTTTTCCCTCTGGAATTCACACAGCCTTCAAGGCCTTCTTGGCTTGCCCATGGCTCTGGTTGGGATACGCTCAGTCTGGCCTTCGGCGCCAGGTGGGTCCACTCACCAATGCAGACGTTTTCATCGTCAAGCTCGGCAGAGCCATTGCGGTAGTAGCCCAGGCGGCAGTGCTGGCAGTGTTGGCCTCGGGTGTTGTGTTTACAGCTCACACAGGTCACCACATTCAAGAAGTCGATGTAGCTACAGCGGTTGGAATGACCATAACACTCACAGTCTGCCAAGGAGCGAGAAGATGAATCACACATGGGCATCGTAGATAGGTATGTCACAGCCGGGAGGGCCTTCAGCGGCCATCTGCCCCATCCCCTTTATTTTGTAGAGATAAAAAAATGGAGTCTGGGCCCAAAGAATTCGAGTCACTTGCCCAGGGTAATTTAGCAAGTTAGAAGCTCTCCACTGGAACAAGGATCTAGGTCCCTAAGTAAGAAGTCTCTAGCTCCATAGGTTTCTAGGTCTCTTGCTATACACCTTTGGTAGTCCAGGGGCAAAGGGCTCCAGGATACGGAATAATCATTCTCACTTGCTTCCAAAAATTAAGGGGAGCTCTTGGGGCTAATGGACAAATCCTCTTTGGGACTGACCAGTTTTGAGGTCATTTAACTCTGTTCTGAGAAAGAATGACTTCCAGAAAGCTTTCAGGTATAGCAAAGAGCAGTCTTTTGGCTAGCATCAAACACTGCACTCAATCTTTGAGAGAGACTCCTGGGTCTGGGGATTTGGCGGAGATGTTCACAGTCCCCTAGGATTTTTGGGGAGCAGCTAGGAAATAGCACTTAGAAAATGTGGCCTAAAGCACAGGGTTCAAAGAAGTGTCAATCCAAGGCTTCTAACACTGAGCTGGGCCCCTGACTTGCCAGTTCCCATGGTAGGGATGAGGGGATAGCAGAATCCAATGAAGGTGAGGAACTAGGTTTTGACCAGGTGGAACTGGTAGACCCTAGAAAGAAGTAAGCATGCAAGGAATAGATGGAATGGGTAGATATCTGCAAGGGTTGGGGTGGTGAATTGAAACCACATCAAACATGACAGAACAGACCAGGAGCTTTCTCTCACCCCCCCACCCCCCGCCATGCTGCATTGGAAACAGGAACTTGGAAGCATGAACTCCCCAGAAAGGATGGGAACAGAAGGAGGGAGGCATTAGCCATATTGGCTAGGATAGCCTTTCCCATCAGACTTGAATCCCTTACAGAACTGAGACAGCTCAATAAACTTTCAGCTCACCTGTCCCTGGATTAGTCTTTGTTCCAGCCTGAGGACAAATGTCTTTGTTTCATCTTCTTTGTACATCCAGTACTTAGCACAGTGTCTGGCACACAGTAAGCACTTAATAAAATTATTCTTGTTGGCTGCCTACTGCTTAAGGTAGAGTGGCCCATTCCCTCCCCTTTCCTACCCCTAGATCCTTTCCCTTGGGGTTCAGGGGAGTTAAAAGACAGTCTAAGATTAGACTAGATATGCTCAAAGAAGGAGGCAAATTCCATGATGTTCTAAGTGGAGGGTCCAGGGACTGGAAGATTTTGGTCATGTTTCTCTCCTGATGACATCATTAAGGTCAGAGATTTCGGGTGGAGAGGGCAAGGAGGTGAGGAGGAAGAGGTTGGAGCCCAGCATCCCTTCCCCTGTCTCAAGAAGGCAGGGTCTAACCAAATATCTTTTGGGGTTGACCCATCCCAAGGGAATCTTACTGTCCACTGAACACAAATTACAATATTTATATTACATAATTACAATGAAAAAGGCTTACAAGGTACTCTCCCCTAAACAGCTGTATGAGGTGTTTAGTATTAAGTATTACTGTCCCCTTCACATGTATAATTGGTATCATATTGTTTGCCTTCTCAATGGTTGGGGAGGGACTCAGGGGAGGGAGAATATTTGGAACTAAAAATTTTAAAAAACAAATGTTAAAATAAAATATAATTATATTAAACCCCCAAAATATATATACTATTTTACCCATTCTAAGGATGAGGAAACTGAGCTTCAAAGAAACTTGTCCACAGGAACGCAGTTTGTCAGAGCTGGGACTCAACCCCAGGTCTCCTGATGCCATATCCAGTGCCCTTTCTACCATATCATGCTCTGGTTCATGGCAAGGAAAGACCTACTATCTCAAAAACACAGATGTCTTTGAAAAAGCCTCTTCCATCTGAAGGAAGAGAAGATTCATTCTTAGTGTCTTGGGGAGTATGGGGTCTCTGAGGGAATAGTCCCTGAGCTCTACTCAAGGAGAGGCAAGGGGCTCTATCCTCTCCATTACCAGAGGGCTGCTTGGCAATGCTCTTTACCTCCAAGAGAGACCAAAAAGACATAACCTTGATCTCAGCTGATTCCTTCAGGCTGATTCTGTAGACACAGTCCATGCTAAGAGCCCCATAGTCACTACAGTGTGCCCAAGATGGTAGCAGGCCGATCCAGCCTCCTTCCCTGCCACCAAGCTCAGGGGTTCTCAAGCTCCTACTTTCCAAAGAAGCCCAAGAAAAAAAAATAGGTTTCTGGAAGGAAACCTTTTCCTGCTCCAAGCACAGTAGGCCTGAGCCTGGTCAACCTCAGGCTGGCTCTCTAGAGTTAGGAGGACCATAGAGAAAGAAGGAGTTTGACCATTCAAGTGGATATTCCCAGTCAGGCACTAGGAATGGCCTTTTGGAACTCTCCTCTTTTCCTCTTGGTGGCCTGTTAGGTCTGGCTTCCTAGCCTTGCCTTGATGCTCTCCTCTGGGACTCTTCTCTCTCTTACCTTTGAACACTTCAATGGGCACCACTTGAGGAGACTTAGGCTTGAGCTGGAAAAGTTTGGAGATCTTGGCAGGGGCAGCAACAATGGGGGCAGCAACAGTGGTGGTGGCTTGGAGAAACAAGAGACAAACTCTTTTATCACTTTTCCTAAGGTCTCTGGATATACAGGAAAGGATGCCATGAAAAAGACCACCGTTGGCCTTATCAAGACCTGGAAGAGTCCCATCCAGGCAGAGAGAGGTTAAATAATTGGCTGAAGATCACAAACAAAGCCAAAGAGAACCTTAGCTCTGCCTGATCTCCCTTCCAATCCATCCTACATAGACCTACCAGATTAATATTTCTAAAACACTGATTTTGTATGTGCCATTACCCCCAAACACTTTTCAGTGGCCCCCCATTTCCCACAGGATAAATTTCAAACTCCTAACTGCAATTCAATGCTTCTATATTCTTATCTGCTACTAGGCTCTAATCTTTCTGGTTTATTTATTCTCTTCTGAACAAACCAAATTTCTTCCCTACCTTGGACCTTCTCTCATACTCACCCAAGACCCAGGACTGGAATGCCTTCTACAACTATATGTTCTATCTTCACACATTTAAGGCTCAGTTCAAGGCATACTTTCTCTCCCACTTAAGGTGAATCCTCCCTCCTCTGCACTCCTAGGACACTCAATGGACAGGGTCCATTGAAAAATGCAGAATCATGGAATCTTAGATTTGGAAGGATTAATGATAACCTAGTCCAATCTTTTCATTTTAGCAGAGCAGAAAACTGAGGTCCTTTGAGAGGGAGAGACTTGCCCAAGGACCCACAACAAAGCAGTAGCTGGACCAGGATTTCTAGAACACTGGTCTTTCAAATCCTAATCCAGCGATTTTTATAGTATCCCATGCATTCTACACATATCCCCAGCTAGACTGTCAGTTCTTGGAGGACAGGGACCAGGTCTTATTTATCTATATAGTCTCCACAGTGCCTAACATACAGCCTGCATTTGATAAAGCATAGAACTAAAAGGGACCTTATTGGTCATTTGGTCTTATTCCTTTTTTTTTACAATGAAAATATTGAGGCCCAGAGAAGGAATATGACCTATTCAAAATTATACAACTGAGATTCCAAATCAGGTCCTCTGACTCCAAAATTATTTATAAGGATGATGAAAGGGGCTCTAGAACATCAGCTTCTGTTTCCTTTTCAGGTCCCAAATATCCCACCTCTTTAGAATTGGAGGAAAGGCCCAGATTAGACTATTGGCTCCCATAAAAAATCGTATTTTGACCCCCAGTGCCCTCCAAGGCAGAGCCAGTATTCACCTATCATTCCCCATCATGAGGATGTCCTTCACGTTGGCAGCCAGCTCGGGGAGCTGTTGACCAGCAGAGGGTGCTGAAAGCCTTGATTTATTCGCTGCAGCCCCTTAGAAACACAAAGAGACCTCATTCTCTCGCAGAACTGGGACTTGGGGCACAGAGGGTGGGTCTGGCGAGACTCCTGAGATCCAAGCCCACCACGACTTTTCAGTTTGGAAATGGCTCCTTTCTTAGGGCTAAGGATGCTCATCTTTCTGGGCAGTAGCAGGAATGGCAGGGAGGGAGCAGGGAATCAAGAGCTGAGAAAGTTAGCCTCTGGTTCTAGCACTGCCTCTGACTCCTTGCAGGTAAATAATTCCCTTCTTCGGGCATTAGTGTCCTCATCTGTAAAATGGTGGGTGATCGGTGAGGACAAAATGAGATAATGGATGTGAAAGTACTTTCAAAACTGTCAAGTATGATTTAAAATGTGAAGGAAGGGAATAGGAATTTACATCACACCTACTATGTGCCAGGCACTGTGTGCTTTACAAATAACTCATTTGATCCTCATAACAATCTATAAGGTAGCTGCTATTATGACCTCCGTTTTACAGTTGAGGAAACTGAGGCAAATAGAAGTTGAGTGACTTGCTTAGGGTCATACAGCTGGTGTCGGAGACCAAATATGAGCTCAGGTCTTCCTGACTCCAGGCCCAGTGCTTTCTCCATGGTGCCTTCTAGCTACCTTTAAGTCCAGGAAGAAGAGAGAGTGACAGTAGTGGTATGTAGTAGAAAGAGCAGTAGCTTTGAAGTCAGAGGATCTAGGTTCAAATTCTTCCTCTGTCAGTCTCTATGTGACCCTGGGCAAGTGACTTAACCTTCTTGGGCCTTTGTCTTCTCATCTATAAAACTATGGGGTTTGGACTAGATGACCTCTGTGCCTTCTAGCTCTGATTCTGGGATCTCCATTACTACTTGGCACAAAAAGACCAGAGATATGTTCAGTTTACCTGATCTTCCCCCATGAGAAAGTCAGAAGAATAAAATTTCCCACCTGTCTGCATGACTCTGTCTCTCCATCTGCCTCCTTCCCTCTTCTCTCTGCATATTCCCTATTGCTTCAGGAGATAGGGTCTTAGATGTAGAGCCAGAAGGTGCCACATTGGGAGGGTCTGGAAGACACTTCATGTGACATGCCTTGCCCAATGTCACACAAGAAGCAGGTAACAGTTCCAAGATCCATCCCAAATCTTCTGACTCCAAATCTAGGCATCCTTCACTCTAAATTCTAAACTGCTTGGCTCAGCATTCTAAGCCTTGGCATTATTTGGCATCATCATGTCTAAAATAACAACAACAATAATAATAATCCATGTTTCTCCAATGCTTTCCAGTCTACAAAGAGCTCCCTTCATAGTAAGTGTGGTAGGCAGCATACAAGCTTACTTATCCTTTTCTGTCCCCATCTTCTTTTCTGTCCCTGTCCCTTCTTCCCAGAATACTTACCTGTCTGTTCCCACTTGGTTGGTTTCTTTGTTGTTTTCTCCCCCTAACAGCAGCTCATTCTTGACCTTACTACTTCCTCTCAATGAGTTGCTTTCCCTATTCCTTATCTAAACCCTCCCCATCCTTCAAGGCCCAGCTTGTCTTATTGAGCTTCCTCCTCTGAAGCCCTAGAGCACTTAGTATTGATGCCATGGTCTAGCACTGACTCTTTGAACATGTCACTCCTCTGCTCTGAAGCTTTCCATGGCCCTCCCCTAACCCCATCTTTTCTTAACCAGAATCATAAAATCCAGGGTTAAAGATTTGCTCTTACCTATTTTTGTGTCTTTCACTTTCTGTGTGTTACCTGCTATGTGCCTGGCACAGAGAAGGCACGTAGCAGGTGACACATACTTATTAACTGACTTGTACACATATTTGCAAACATACACACATATGCACATGTATAAGAGTTACTTTCCCCCAATAAGATTGTGTGCCTTACTTAAAGGGCACAATGGAAAGGCATACATTGGCCACAACTCTTGTCCATATGTATATACAGAAAGGCAGCCACATCGCCCATCAGCTGAAAGCTAGGGCTAGCTAAGCATCAAGGCTGAGGTCAGGACAGCTGCTGGCTTCTCCCCAGTGATCTCCATCAGCAAGTATTCACTTCTCTGTAACCAGGTGAACATCATGGCCAGAGCAGGTAAGGGGAATAGGCTGGGAGGCACTGGGAGGATCCTTACGTGACCTCAGGTGTCTCCTGGGTAAAGGAAGCCAGATGTCATAAAATCTCAGAGTAAGCACCCATAGATTCTCAGCCTATTGACTTGCTGAATGGCCTCATCCCCAGAGCAGGACAGAGGTACTATGTAGGCTCACGGGATTTGAATCAGACTATTGCAGTGAGCGTTCAGCCAGACAAATTTCCTCTCCAAAGCAGGCTAGGTAAATCCCTCAGATGCCAGGTAGAGTTCACACAGTTTGGGTGGATGGGGTTAGTAGCACACTCTTCCCTGTCTTCCCCTGGAAAAATGCAGATCTTTCTAAGGGGCAATTTGATAATGAAGAAAGCCCTCATTGGCTCTGGAATCAGAGGACCTGGATTCAAATGTTACTTTGACACTACACGTCTGACCTCGAATAAGTCAATTTGACCTCCACAGGCTTCAGGGTCCTCATCTCTAAAGTCAGGGGGTTGGACTAGATGGTCTTGGAGGCCCCTCCAGATCCATGGTCCTTCACGTCTCAGAGCACAGGGGATTACATCCCTGGAGGAGTAACTCCTACCCTAGATTTTCTGAGTTACTCTTATAATTCCCTGCCTTTTTTCTTAGGGGAAAAGGGAGACACATCATGTGTAGTACTCCGAAAGAGACCAGCACTCATTAGAGCTCACTGAATGAATGAATGATCCAGAGCAGCTTACTCTACCCTCAGTGACATAAGATCACACATAATGCCTTCTCCTCTCCCCCACTCCCTGGGTGGTTCTATTCAATTTCTACTCAATGTTCATTAATAATCTTCAATGTTCTCCCCAGCTGGAGAGACTAGATCTCCTTCTACAACTTCTCATTTTAAACTCCATTCCTAACAGCACTAACAACTGACATTTCTGTAGCACTTTAAGTTTTATACAGCACTTTACATGCATGATATCATTTGGTCCTCACAACCATCCTATGAAGTAAGGGGGCTACTGATAGTAATATCTCCTTTGTAGAGATTTGGAAACTGAGGCAGAGAGAAGTCAAACAGCTGGTAAGTGTGTGGGGGGGCAGGATTTAAACCCAGCTCTTCCTGACTCCAAGTCCAATGCTCTATCCACTTCACCAAGCTACTGCTCTAGCTACAAAAAAAGACCCAAGACTGTAGGGAATGTTCTCCCCTTCTCTGATCACTAGGAGGAGAGCTCAAGTAGGCTAGCTCTAATAGGAGGCTGAACAAGTTCTTGTGGTACCCTGGCTGGCACTCACACCTGATGATCTGTGATGTTTCAGGAATACCCCTTAGGAAATAATAACAATAATAATTGACATGCAGCATGTAAAGCTTTGCAAAGTGCTTCATATGCATTAGGTCATCCGGTGGGAGAAGAAAGGGGCTTTAGAGGCCATTAGGAACCTGAGGTGGGGAAGAGGGAAGAAGAAGAAAAGAGGGGGAGAGGGAGAGAGGAGGGCAAGAAAGACAGAGACAGAGAGAAGAGAGACAGAAACAGAGACACAGAGACAAAGAGAGTGACAAGGACAGAGACAGATAGAGAGGGGAGGGGGAAGGAATGAGGAGGAGAGACAGAGAGAAAGAAGAGAGAGAGAACAGAGAGACAGAAAACCAGAGACAGAGGAGAAGAGACAGACAGAGGCAGGAAAAGAGAGAGATGGAGACGGAGAGAGACAGACAGACAGAGACAGAAAGAGCAAGAGAGAGCAGCAGTGACCTAGGAGACTCTCCTCCAGGTGCTTTCCCCAACAATTTCTTATTCCTGCAAGGCCCAGAAATAGTACCCAGGGGGATGCTGTAATCAGCAATAAATATATCCCTACCTTCTGTTTTGGTGTTAACCTTGGGCATAGTGGTGCCCATCTGCAGAGGGGCAGCTGTTGATGACCTGGTCCACTCTCATGTAGAAATAAGAGGAAAGTTCAGTTACAAGGTGAAATACGGAGTAGGGGGTCCCAGTTTCATACTCAATTGCTTCATGCTGGTGATATGGATATAACCTTGGGTGTTATATTTCACAGGGTCCTTTCCCAGAAACCTCCTTTAGTTGCCACCTCCCTAGCTGGGAAAGCTAGGTTGCCCACTTTTATCCTACCTCCCAGATACAGGAATACCCTGAGGAGGATATAAAAAATCATGATGTATCAAGAGTGGCTATGTCTACACTGGTTGACTAGACTGGATCCAAATCCACATGAATAGCAGCACCTACACTACTGTAACATTTGGCCACACATGTGGATTTGATGCTAGATGTGATGGGTACATGTCATCTTCACCCTCCTGTATGGGCCTTTTGCTCACTTTGAAGTCCAGATATATAGAACACTTGGAATGTGCAGTTCAATTCCGAAATCATCTAATCAATATACAACACAGTCTATCTACACTGCCAAATGTAGACCCAGCTGCTCATGGGGAAATATAGCACTAGAAGCAGCATCTCTGGCAAACATTTGCTAAAAAGCAAAATTATTCTCATACATATATCTGTTCTACATTAGACCTGACTCCTAAGTCACTATGGACGGATGTCCATCCCTTTGTCTCATACTTGAGTTTTCTCAGAAGAATGTTGTTGTTTAGTTGTGTCCAATCCTTCTTGACCCCATTTGGGTTTTTAAAATTTTTTGCAAAGATAATGTAGTGGTTTGCCATTTCCTTCTCCAGCTTATTTTACATATGAGGAACCTGAGGCAAATAAGGTTAAGTGACTTGCCCAGGGTCACACAGAAAGGGTCTGAGGCTGGATTTGAACTCAGGTCTTCCTGACTCCAGTCCTGGCACTCTATTCACTGAGCCACCTAGCTGCCCATAGCAAGTACTTACCAAATCATTACTCATTCATTCATTAGGAAGTGTTTCATCACATGTAGCCAAAACTCACTTCTCTACAGAGTCTAACCATTGCTTCTAGCCCAGCCTTCTGAGGCTAAGCAAGGAAAATATTCTTTTCCACATGACAGCCTTTCAACTACTTGAACATGGCTATCATGCCTCCTCTCGGTCTTCCCTTCTCTAGGATACACATCCCCACTTCCAGCCAATCCTCATAAAACACAATCTCAAGGCTCTTCATCATCCTGGATGTCCTCCAGTCAAACCCCAAAATACCACACTGTTCATTTTAGGGTCTAAAAATGATGGGAAGATGGAAGAAAGAGAGAGTGAGGGTGAAAGAAATCTCTCCTTTGCTCAATTTCAAAGGATAAACCCAGGGAGACAAAGTTGAAATTTGATTTTTCAGCTCCTTCGAGGGATTTATAAACAACAGCGGCTGGTGGAGTATGAAAAAAAAAAAGAATCGAATGTCTAAAAAGTACAGGGTACTTTTTAACTGTGAGCTGGGAGCCTTTGGATATCAAATTGATATTAATATGGTGTTCAATGAGGAGAGGAGATCGCCCTCCTCAAATTGGCAAGGGCTTAATTAGAGTCATAATAAAAACCAGCCCTGAAGGCATTTTGCTTTTTAGTCATGCACATACATCACCCTTCTTCCTCCTCCTGCTGAGCAGGAAAAACGAAGAGTGGTTTTTCAGAGTCCATCCTGACCAGCAGGCCTGTCTCTGCTTTTTCTGAGTCCCCGCCTGTGGACATCCTGACTGGCAGGAGGGAAAAGCAGATGTCCAGGTGTTCTGAGTTTTCATATTTGTGTTCATAGCACTTAGCACAGTTTTGTTCTTTTGTTTTTTGCACATAGTACACGCTTAACAAATACTTTATCTTTTGTTCATTTTGGGAGCCTCAGCCGGACTTGGGCCAAAGGGCTGGAATCGTGTATGTAGAGGTGCTCAGATGGCCCTAGGAATTTTCTGGCTTGGTATTCAGAGGGAGGAAAGAGCGCACACAGAAAACGATGTTCAGGCTTCCAGGTTTTTCTGGGAATGTTCTCAGGTGCTTCTGAAAAGCGTTTACTCAGGAAGCCTTAGGTAAATGCCAGGGCCATATGGATGATGTGATTGCGTCTCCCTTACTACTTCTCAAGGCGCTGGGATGCTGGGGGCTCTCCCAGGGAGGGGTGCCAGAAGCAGGGAAGGCCAAGAGCCCAGGTATTGGCAGGAACAATAGAGCTCACACAGCGGGTACTCTAGGATTGTTTGTGGATAATATGAACTGATGAGAACAGTGATGAGGACGGTGATAATAAAAACACTGAAGAGGAAGATGATTTTGTGTGGGCCCAGCCACCTCATCCTCCTGTACTTGGGTCACCTGAAGGCTAGCTTCAAGACTGCAGTTTTGTCCTTCTATTTGACCTGAGGCAAATCACTTCATTTCTCTTAGACTCAGTTTCTTCATTTTTAAAATGAGGAAGTCAGACTAGATGTGCTGTAAGGCTTCTCTTCATCTAAATTTATGATTCTGTCTATTATTGTCTCCTTCAGAAGGATAATTTGATTCTCCTGCTCTGGGCTGAAATTTTTACAATGTCCTCCACACTGTCCAACTGTTAGCCCCACCATCTGGAGGGCTTCCATTCGCTGGATGCACTAGGTTTTTCAAAATGTCCCTCTTTATTGAAGCTTCCTGATCATCCCCCCCAACCCCGAAGCCCCCTGGTCAATCCTTGCCTTTGCTTTCTCCCAGGAAAGTGTTCTTAACTTTTAGGGGGTGGTCATGGACCTCTTAGGCAGTCTGGTGAAGCCTATGGACCCCTTCTCAAAATAATGTTATTATATTCACAAAATAAAGTACACAGGATTACAAAAGAAATCAATCATATTGAAATACAGATGTAATTTTTCCTATCCAAATTCCCAGACCTCCAGAAATCTCTCCACGGACCTCAGGTAAAGAACCCACGCTCTCAGCACTTATTTATGGAGAGAATTCCCAATACGCCTGTTGCTAGTTGTATGGTCCTTCCTATATACTCTCTCAGCTCACATATATGTGTATGTGTGTGTGTGTGTGTGTATGTATATATGTCTATACACACATATATACATATATACATACACACATACATATATACATATATACATACATATGCATACATATATCTCATCTTCCCAACTAGACTGTAAATTCCCTGAAGGTAGAAAATGTGTCTCTGATTTTTTTTTCTTTCTCTCTTCTTTCCAAATCAAAGAATCCTTCTGCAAGATGTAGCAGAAACCAGAAACTAGAAACCTAGTCTAAGACTATACACAATATCTTGGGCTCTCAGACCCTCTAGAAAACTCCACTCACTACAATCAGTGAGGTCCCCAAGACCAAGAGGCTCCCTTGACATACCTGGACTTCCCTGAGTTCTTCCACTTGCCCTGGTAACAGGCTGCCCACTGGCAGTGACCCCTGAGTGCAGAGGCAGCAAGGCAGTAGGCAAAAGAACAAAAACCCATCAATCGTATTAAGCAAAGGACATCACCTCTTAGGGATGAGAAGAACTCTCCTATGGTCTTACCACCCCATCCCCTCCCCTACTTCAGCCTCCCAAGGCTCACAGAATAGTCCGGCTAAATGCAATAGGGAAACCCAACTTGGAGTGATTACTTTAGCTCTAACTCTTATTTCCAACCCCCAGGGATGGATGTATTCAACCCAAGCCATTGAGGAGGGTTTGCCTGCTAAGACTCTTTCAAGTAGAGGAGTCACTGGGATATGGAGTAGAAGTCTGCTTATGTGTCTTGGACGAAGGTTTCTTGGTTCTCGTTTCTCCCATCCCCCCAGGACTGCCCTGACCTCCCTCAGTACTGGGCTCTGCCCAGTAGGCTGAGAACTGGGGGCAACTCTGATAAAGTTCCAGAGGATTTTCCTGTCCTAGGGGCTACTCTTGTCCCACTTCCCTCTCACCCCAGTTCTATTTTCCTTTTCATGAGGATGCACTTAGCCTGTTTCCCCCAGGAAATTTAGAAACAAACAGTGGGCTTTCCCCTGCCTTTCCCCTCCAACAGATTCTGCATGCCTCTTGCTCCTCATCTACCTTGAGTATTAATAGCTGAAAAATTCACCTCCTAGGAAAAACAACAACGACAACAACAATAATACTCAGGCTTTAGTTATATCCAGTTCCCATGCTTGGGAGCCATGAGATCATAGTAAACTAGTTCTCCATCTAATCTTGTGTTTTAAGATGGCTATGGGTCTGAGGGTGCTGGAGATACTGCTGGGCTGGGATAGGAAGGGGAGAAAGCAAGCTAGGCTAGTCAAGTAGCAACCCAGCTCCCACCCAGTCGGTCTAAAAGGACAAGGGAAACTATAGAGATCCTCCCTTTCCCCATCAAGTCATCTTCATTCATTTGGTTCCACTGACATGATTTGGAGAAACCAACTGCTAGGCTTCTGGGGACCCAGCTCATGTCAACTTAACCAATAAGGTGTCCAGACAATGATGCTTGCCAGGTTTGAGAGGACATCATTTAGTGGTTCTTTTCCCTCTCTCTTGCACCTCCCTGGAAATATGGCAAGCAATCAAGAAGATGAGGATCTAAATTTCTGTCCAAGCTGACATTTAATCCCCACAACAGGGATCTGCTATAGGAGGGCTTCCTCTACTGGGTGGGAGCTTGGAGTAGATGACCTGTAAAGTCTTATCCAACTCCAAAAGTCAATGGCTCTAAGGGTCTATGAATCAATGATCAGACTAATTTCTTCTCTGCTGTCACAAGGGATACTATGGAGAAAGGCAGGACAACTATCTAAGAATGAGATAAGGCAGCCAGGATTATTTGCTGTACACTAAGGGGAAATGGGGGTCTAACATCCGGTACCCACCTGTGGGTTGTTGGGTGCTGGGAAGGGTGAGGGCTTGTATGGTGGGGGTTGTGGGAGTAGAAGTGGTGATGGTCACCTCAGGGGCCATTGAGGTGGCAGTGGCCTTGGGGACAGTGACCTTCTTTGGCTGACTGATTCCTGGCAAGACATGAGGAAAACAAAAGTGGGGCAGATGGAGAAAGGGAACTGGAGGAGGGAAAGGGAACGACCATTTCAGAAATACCATCTATTCCTTGCAATACATCAGGAAAAACCAAATGGATACATGTCTCCCATTGGATCCAGGACCATTCTCATGACATTTTCCACCCCCACCAGCATCCCGGGCAAGGGGGAAGCAAGATAGATAGTTGTTTAGGATTCAGCCCTGAAGAATAAAGGTTGGGGCCATGGTCTGGCCTCCCCAGCCCATGGAGAAAAGTAGGAAATGATGAAAGTTAACATACATCAAATTCCATATAATTTCCTCAGAAGGCCTCCCTGATTCTCCCTCAGTTCCCCCACCCTCTGGTGCTGACTGTCCTCCCCCAGCTCTGAAACTTGACTACTTGGTGTCTGGATATCAGACAGGTTTCCCTAAGTGGAAGGCTAAAAAAAAAACAAAAATAAAAAACGATGACCCTTTACCCAAGTTGGATTAAGAGCTTAGAACTTAAATCTGTCACTGGTTATAAGGAAAACCACCAGCAATGGAGTCCCCTGGGAGTGCCACTGCCCACCAGCCAGGAGGGGCACTTTCACCAGTCCAGGTGAGAGGAGAGGCTGGGCAGTGAGAAGAGGGAGGAGTTCACTGGGGGGTCAAGGGAACTTTCAAAAAGTCCAGTTTGTTCCTTTTTTCCAAGGCAGTGCTAATGAAGCTCTAGGGGAGAAACTGAAGAGGCAGTAAGCTGCCGGGTGCAGCAAAACAACAAAAAAAGAAATCAGAAGAGACTAGGGGAGGGAGGAGGGGGACAGCAAATGAGACACAATTAGAGGAACGAGATGGATGGCTGGCAGGCACAGAAAGAACATTAAAGTCCCTTCGTTTTTTTTCCCGTGCAAACAGGCTCATGCAATAAGAATGTCAACCTTCCTTCCATTCTCTAGGTCTTTACTTACTGCCAAAGGCGGAGCCTGCAGCCGCACCTAGAAGAGAGAAAAGACAAGGTCACATTATGGAACTGAAGGAATGGAGCTTCTTCTCTGCAGCGGGTTCATGTCTCCTGGGGGAGGAAGGGAGATGGTGATGAAGCATCCACCTCCAGCTTCAAGATACCCTGGCCCCAAAAGAAAAGGCTGCCAACTAGGTTTGGGGGCATTTCTGAGGACACAAAGGGGAGGTGGCACCCTTCACTGGGTGCAATGTGGATTAGGAGGAGGGTTGCATTTTTCTTCCAAGGTGCTGGGGGAATCCAGAAATAATTCATCCCAGATCCCCCTGCTACACCATCCTCCCTACCCCTGCCCCTAAGCTCTATTGCTCTCCACCACACTAGAAGAAAAAACAAAAGTATTTCTTTCTAAGCCTCAGGAACATCTTAGACAACTCCAGAAGACTCCTGGGAATTTGGGAGCTTCTGCAAATATACTGTAGTTACCTGCTATGTAGCTGCCATGGCCTTCCCTGCCACATTCTTCCTCCCAAGTTCAATGAAAGAACTTTCCCTACAAAGAGCTTTCCCCTGTGCAGAGGTGTTTCCCTTCCTATAGTGGAAGGCAGGAAGGGAGAAGAGGATCAAAGTAGTTACATGGATCTCTCCATCTTGTATCATAGTTACTTGTACACTTGTCCTTCCCACACTTTAGAAAGTCTCTTGAGAGCAGGACCTGTGTGTCATATCCAGCCTCATGTCCTCAGTATGTGATGCAGTGCTTTGCAGATACATTTAAATATTTGTCAAATTGATATGAAGAGAGGAGGTATAGTATAATGGAAAGAACAATGGACTTGGGGCCAGAGAACTGGTTCAAATCCCATCTCAGATACTTACTAGCCGAGTGACCCTGGGCCAGTCACTTAACCTCTCTAGGCCTCAGTTACTTTATCTGTAAAATGAGGTGGGGTGGGGGGAGGAGAGGAGTCAGACTGCATGACCTCTAAGGTTGTTTCCACTTCCAAATATATGATCCTATGACCTGAATTTGAGTCAGCTCTGCCACTTATTAAATATCTGATCTTGAGCAATTCACTCCCTTTCTCAGGTTCTCATTTTCTTCAACTAAAAAAATTAGAGGGTTGGACTAGAGTAATCACTAAGGTCCTTTTCAACTCTGATATTCCAAAATTCTCTGAGAGTACAAAATGATACAGAAAGCCGAGCCACTGGCTAGATGGGAAATCACCACACTGCACAGGAAACTGCAAGAGGCAGAAGGTTTTCCTTAATCATTTAGAGTTTACTAGGGATACGAAACAGGCCATGGGTTGGAGCAAAAAGAAGACCTCATTTAAGAAATAAGGCTGGATCTTCGGGCACTGAGTGAGGACCAAGGGTCAGACAAGAGAAGGCAGGGCATCTTGGAATGGGGATGACAAACAGCCTAGAAGAACACTCTCCACAAGGAGGGTGAGATAGAGCACACGGAGAGAAGGAAGGAGGAAGGAGGAGGGAGAGAAAAGGAGGGAGGGAGAGGAAGAGGGAAGAAGGGGAAGAAATAGTCTAGAAGACGTAGGCACAAAGGGAGAGAGAAGGAAATAGAAAGGAAAAGGAGGAAAGGAACAAAAGGGGAGGAAAAGAGAGAGTGGAACATAAAGGGAAGAAGAGAGGAAGAAGGAAAGGAAAGGAGAGAAAGATGATTTCAACAGATTGAGGCTGATGTGGGAGAGAGAGAGAGAGAGAGAGAGAGAGAGAGAGAGAGAGAGAGAGAGAGAGAGAGAGAGAGAGAGAGAGAGAGAGAACAGAGATACTTAAGTGAGAATAAAGACTGGAGACGAGCAGAGACAAAGAGACACGGGAGAGGAGGCAGCAGTCACGGAGCTCTCATCATAGCCCCAGAATGCTCTCCTTGCTCTCTGAAGACCCACAAGCGCTATCCAGCAGCTGACAAGCTCGTTTTCTTTCAAAGGCTCTGTCGTCTCCCGTCCCTGGCACACACACAACATTCCTGTCACGGCCCTCGCAGCCTGTATTTTAGCTTTGATCATCTTAAAGCCACATAAATCTTTCACCCACTGAGAGGAGAAGCAAAAGAGCAAGGCTAAGCCTTCCTTCCCAGGCAAGGCCATTAAAAACCCAAGAAGTGACATTTGCAAGTCTGAGCTGTGTTTAAGGCCTTCAAGTGGGCTGGGGTCCCAGGGGTGGGCCATCCAGAGACCAAAGGTCTCTCTGCCTCCACAGATGATCTCACCAACTTTGGCTTCCCCCTCTCCCTCCCCTTCCCCCTCCTCACTGCTTTGTGGAGATTTCTGAGATCACCTATGGAGAGACTTGCAGGCCCTCTCAGTTGGCTGGCCCTGCTCCTTGTTGGGGATTCTTATGAGATCATAAGATTTTGAGCTGGAAGAGACATTAGAGGTTTTCATTTTACAGATGAGGAAACTGAGGTCTGGAGAGGTTAAAGACAAAGGTCACACAGGTAAATGAGAGAGCTGTGAATCCTCTGACTACAAATCCTGCTCCCTTTCCACCACACATGCAGCTTCCCTGCAATGCTGCCCACCCCAACAAAGATGCCCTCCCTTAGAAAAGAGGAGGATTGAAGAGTGACTTCATTGTGGTTTTTAGAACAAGAAATGCTTTCTGAGTGACGTTCTGAAACCACTGAGAGTGAGGCTTATCACACGAACATAGTTCTAGAGCCAGAAGAAAACTCAGAGGGCCTCTAGCCTAACCCTCTCATTTTACAGATGGGGAAACTGAGGCTCAGGGACGTTGAATAACTTGATCAATGTTACCAAAGATTTGAACTGAGGTCTTCTGACTCCAAAGCCATTCTCCTTTGACTGTACCAACTTGCCTCTTGGGTTAGAGACACCTTATAGTCAGGAGATCCTGGATTGTATATCGATGAAACATTGGGGAATCTTGGTGTCATAGTGGATACAACACTGGACTTAGAGTGAGGAAGTCATGAGTTTGAATCCTACCTCACTCCTACTTACTTACTAGCTATATAACTCTAAGCAGGGTTTTTAACCTCTCAGCTTCAGTTTCCTCATCTGCAGAAGAGGTATAATAAAAATACCTACCTAGATCATAAATGAGATAACATACATAGTGTTTTGAAAACCTTAAAATTTTATGTGAATGTTATTATTATACTATTATTATTAGAGATGATTAAGGATGGGGTTTTGCCCAGAGGCAGCGGGTGAACACAAAGACCTCCCAAGGGCCATCCCCAGCCTCAGGGTTAGCTCCTTGCTATACATACATGCATTAGGGGAGCCATTAGGGAGGGGCAGGTAGGACCCTGCTCTCCATGAGCGAGTTCGAAAGTTCTTCTTGCATTTGCCACAGTCCTGGCCGGTGGTATTGTGTTCACACTCACACTGAAGGCCGCCTTCTTTGTAGGAACACAGGTTGGCATGGAGGTTGCATTTACACCTGAGAGGACACAAGACGGGAGACATCACATGAGTCATTAGGGACCCCTGGAGCTAACAGGACAGAATTTCACCAGAATTCTCCAGGGAGGCCTCAAGGTTATGGATGCAATCTCAGCTGAGAGGAGTAGAAGGAAAGGTTAGTGAAGCATTTAGAAGGTCTTGGATGAGAGGGGCCCAACAAATGTTAAGAGTTATCTATCTGTTTCTAAGCATTTCTCTACCAGCTTTCATTATCCTTGAGACAAGGGCTTTCCAACATTTTTTTTCCAGTTTGTGCTAGATATGGGAATTTTCTGGGTTACTCAGAAGAGAAAAAACCTTTACCCTTCTCCATCCATATCCTCACCCATCCCCCTACCCTCAAATCCATTATCTAGCCACATGATAAATTCAGTACTATCTGACCTCTGTTAAACAGAATATTTGATTAACCAGTATGGCCTAGTTCCTTAACTTGCTGTACCATTTTCATTGCTCCTCTCCAGCATGAGGCAGAGTGTGGCCAATTCTAGACAGTAGTTAGGAAGTGGGCTGAGTTTTCTTTGGTGCTCTGAATTGCCCCTTTTACAACACAGGGGTATGTTGGAGCCAGCTCACACCAATTTTCAAGTATCATTTATGAAGAGATATGAGAAGACACCCCCAACCCCTCCTTGGTAGAGGTGGGAGTTCCACAGGCTTTCTGACTTTTTCAATGTATTGATTGGTTGTGTTGATTTTTTCCCTTTCTTTTTCTTTCTATTTTTTTTTTCTGTCTTTAAAAATACTATTTGTCCTATGAGATGGCTTTCTGGGAAGGAGGGAGAGAGTGAAACCAAGGAAAACTGGATTGATATAAAAGAGAGAAGACATCAATAAAAACTTATTTTTTAAAAAGTGTGTCTTTTGTATATTTTTTATTTCAGAGAGCCATTTGTTAAACATTTAACGCTGCACTGCTGTGTGGTGTTACTTTCCCCACTGTTACTTAGGTTCAGTCTTTTAAGTTTTTTTAAAATTCAGCTTTATTTAGTTTTCAGTTCTGAATTCTCTGTTTCTACCTCTATCTCCCCTACCCATTGAGAAGGCAAGAAAAACAAAATCTATTATGAATATGTAGAGTCTTCTGAAACAAATTCTCACATTAGCCATGTCCAAAAAAAAGAAAGAAAGAAAGAAAAAGAGAAGATAATATGCTTCAATCTGTACTGTGAATCCATTCATTCTCTATCTGGAGAAGGACAACCTATTTCATCATGAGTCCTTCAGAACTGTGGTCATTGTGTTGATCAAAATTATTAAGTCTTTCACAGGTCTTTACGATATTGCTGTTACTGAATAAACTGTTGTCCTGGTTCTGCTCACTTCACTTTGAAGACTTCATATAAGTCTTCCCAGGTTTTTCTGAAACCATTCCCTTCATCATTTCTTACAGCACAATAGTATTCCATCACAATCATATGCCACAACTTGTTCAGTCATTCCCCAATTGACAGACATAGGGTTTATCTATTTTGGTTATTCATAAGACCAGGTCTTTGTCTATGTCTCCTAACCACCCCTAATCACCCCCCCCTCCTCTCATTAGCATGGTGACCTATACCACCACTCTCCTAATCAAACAGTAACGAAGGAGAGCCAGGAAACCAGACATCTGGACAAAACTGGAATGACTGATATTCAGTAAAAGAAAGAGCACCGGGCTCATGAGGGTTCTCAAACACTGGAGATCTTCAAAGACAAAACTTATGGGTCCCAGATGGCTTATGGGACTTCCTGCCAGGAAGCAGAAGATAGACTAAATGACCCCTCAAAGTCTCTTCCAGCCCTAAAATTTTGTGTATCCTGCCTCTACTATATATTCCCTGTGTGACCTTAGGTAAGTCATTGCCCCATGGGGACATCAGTTTTCTCATATGTAAAATGAGAGTATTGGACTAGATAATCTTTAAAGTCTCTTCTAGTTCTAAATACTGTGACTATATGATGAATCTTAAGATCCTACCCTTCTTATGCTTGGGCATCTTGTGGTCTGGAATTTTCAGGACTTCCCCTACTCAGTTGAGTATCTCTCCGTAGGTGTACCTAGACCCAGCCCATCCCTAATATCCCTCTTGGGGGATGTGCAATTTGGCTAAACTGTATGAACATTAAAAGCAACGTGCATCAAGTGACACAAAGAATTTATTATAATAATACTTTGAAATAAAATACTTTAGTCTACCTCTATTTTCTTTACCTAATGGATAAAAAAAAATGCACTGTGCCAATTGGTACAGATTGGTCCTTTGAGGCATTCTTAAATTCCAGTCTATCTTTAAGATAGCCTGGTGGTCCTGTAGAGAGGCTGTTGGACTTAAGAGTCAGGAAGACCTTAGTTGAAATCTGTCTTCAGAAACTTATTAAAAAAATTTTTAAAAAGAAACTTATTAACCATGTGACCCAAGGTGTGTCATTTAACCTTTTGCCTCAGTTTCCTCTTCTGTAAAAATGAGGATAATAATAGCACCCATCTCCCAGGGTTGTTCTGAAAGGCCAGTGAGATATTTGTAAAATGCTCGACAAATCTTAAAGCACTCTATAAATACTATGTATTATTAAGTCATAGGTTGAACATATCATGGGTCTCAAGATCTCTGCACACTTGAGTTTCTCTTGCGTGGGCCAGACTGTGTCCATACTCTATGCATGCCTGTGGGTCCACTATCACTCAAATTTTCTCATGACATTTAACCAACATTTTTTTCCCCACTTAATCTGCTTTAAGCTCATCCTTCTCTTTGTAGTGATACCCTTTCCATTGTACTGATTTTTCTTTCTCCAATAGGAGGATTTAAAAATACTTGCAGACAGTTATATCTCCCTTTAGCTGTTGCTTATCCACATTCTACATATTTAACTCTCTTAATCTTCCCTCTACTCATAAATCAATCCTGCCAGCCCCTTAATCACTCCTGTTACTTGCTTCTCCACTTCCTCTCATTTATCTCCATCTGCCTAGTAATGCCAGATCTAGAGATGCACCAGACCTTCCCGGGAAGGTCTGCCATGGGTGTGGAAAGGGGTCGAGCATCCCTGATTGGCACCTGGTCTTCTAGACATTCTCTAGTTGTTTGGCTTCGGGCAGACAATATCTAACTCTCTGTCTCCTCACTCCACAGCCCTGTAGGGTGTATTCTAGTCTAAAGACGTATCAGGAGAAGCCTGGCAGGGGAAGGCTACTACCCTTCTTAGTAGCTTAACCCTGGGGTTTTCTTGGACTCTTCCCTCTCCCTCACCTCTCATATCCAATCAATGACCACATCCTTTTGCTTCCCTCTAGACAACATCTCTCATGCCTGTCTCTTGCTCTCTATTCTTATTCTCAATATTCTAATAGAGGTAATCGCTATCATCTGCCCGGACTCTTACAATAGCTTCCTAACAGATCTACCTGCCTCTGCCCTGTGTCTGCTTTGGCCCATCCTTCATTCTGCTGCCAGATAAGGCCATGTCACTCCTCCGCTCAAAGATCTTAGGGGGCTCATTATTGCCTCCGGAGTAAAAAAAATGCTTGGCATTTGGGGTCCTCCACAATCTGACCCCAGCTAACCTTCTCAGCCTTATTTAGTATCACTCCCTTCTACCTAGTGAGTGTGGTGTAGTGAATAGACAGCTAGCTTTAGAGCCAGGCTGACCTGAGTTCAAGTGCCACATCTGGCACATCAAGGCTGTGTGACCCTGGGTAAATTGTTTAACCTCTCTGTGCTCCCAGGCAACTCTCTTACAGACCCCAGGTTGTAGAGAAGGTGTTGACCTGATTGGTAGGAGGAGTTTCCTCATCTGTGACTTCCGAATACCAATTAAAGCAGAGATGCAGTCCCTACATACACTTTACACCCCAGTCAAATTATACTACTCTGCCCTCTTACGTCCCCTGTGCTTTCCCACCTCCATACTTTTGTTCACACTGCTCCTTGGAATGACCTTCCTTCCTACTTCTCTAAAGACCATTTCAAATTCTACCTCCTCCAAGGAGCTTTCCCTGTTTCCCCAGGTGGGTAACAACCTTGCCCCTCCTACCTTGTTTTACAAAGTTAATGCATCTGGTCTGCAATGTTGAGCATAACAGTCATCTATGTTTGTGTCTTATCCACCTATTAGATTGTAAGTCTAATGAAAGCATTAGACATGGAATATGTGAAAGCAGGGACTATGCCTTATCTAAACTTGGTAGAACAGGGCTCTATAAATACATAGTTATTTGAATGTCGTCCCCACCACTAGAGTATAAGCTCCTTGAAGGCAGGGACTGTCTGTGCCTCTTTTTGCATCCCCAGTGCTTGGCACAGTGTCTGACACATAGTGAGCACTTAATAAATGCTTATTGATTGACTGATTGCATGTAGTAGGCATAGAATCAATGTTTCTTAAATGAATGAATAAATATATGGTCATTAAGAGCTTGGGGAAACCATATTAATGTCTGCCTCCCTTCAAAGCTCAGCTCAAGGGCTACTTTCTACATGGGACCTTTCTTCCATATATGCCCATTGTCTTGACTCGATGATTCTCTCCAGTTGCTAGTGCCTCTGAAATGACCTAGCACTTACTTTTTATATATTTTACATTTTATTTTATTTTTTGTTTGTTTGTTTGTTTTTGGCTAGGCAGTGGGGTTAAGTGACTTGCCCAGAGTCATACAGCTAGTAAGTGTTGTGTGTCTGAAGCTGGATTTGAACTCAGGTCCTCCTGAATCCAGGGCTGGTGCTCTATCCACTGTGCCACCTAGCTGCCCCTATATTTTACATTTTAGAGAGTTGCCTAGAGTAGTGGAGTCACATCTGAACAGAATCAGGGCCACTAAGCCGTAAGCATCCCAACAGGCACATGTTGACTTAGAAAATCATATGTTAATGATATCTACGTTCTATTGTATTTTTATTTCTTTTGTTAAACAATTCCCAATTACAGTTTAATGTGGTTCCTGGATGTGTTGTGGGCTGCACAGGGCCCATGGGTCGTGTCTGACACCTCTGT